AGTTTTAAACCTTGCAACGAATGAAGCATTTGTAGTAAAAGGAATATTCAGGTTGTTAGAAATCATTCTGTAACTGTTTCCATCTTTCCAAAGAAACAAAATGTGTTGTTTTTGTGAAATAGTCAATTCTTTACCTTTGGGCATTATTAGAACCTTCTCGCAAGACTAGAAATTGCAGAATGCTCTGATAACGGCTAATAGCTTTAACTATAATTACTGATAACATTACTGGAACATTCTAGAATATACTTTTTTCATAATTAATTGTTTATTTTATTCTAATAATTGATTTGTATGAATACTTTTTTCACCAGTTAGAATTTTAAAAAAATGCATTAATTTCTGTTAGAATAAGAATTGATTAAGTTTATTATAATTTTTTAATAGTATGTGTCTTTATACATAAAATGTGCCAAGATTTGTTTTATTTAAGGCTTTTACATTTATAAAAATACAATTTTTTAAGTGTACGAATATTTATTTCCCCACTGTATATATATATATATATATACATATGTATATACATATATATCTATGCAAAACACACACACACACACACACATATATATATATATATATATATATATATATATATATATATATATGCCTATATTTCTGTGATGAGATATTATATACACTATTTACATTATTCGGACCATTGTCCTCATCTTTGTCCCCATGTTTTTCATTTGTAGAATGCTGGAGCATACAACAGCCAAATGTTGTGATAAACATGGCGACAAAGATGAGGTCAATAGTCCAAATAATGTAAATAGTATATATATATATATATATATACACATACTATTTACATTATTTGAACTATTGACCTCATCTTACAATAATGTAAATAGTATATATATATATATATATATATATATATACTATTTACATTATTTGGACTATAGACCTCATCTTTGTCATTGTTTATCACAACATTTGGCTGTTGTATGCTATTCTAGAAATGAAAAACATGGGGACAAAGATGAGTTTGGTCCTAATAATGTAAATAGTGTATATAATATCTCATCTCATAAATATATATATATATATATATATATATATATATATATATATATATATAAAAGTTTAGACAGGATTTTAAAAGTTGAGGAATAATTAAATAAGTATAAGACACATCTTTGTATATTATTTTGGACACAGGTTGCCTGTTGGTATTCTTGAGTCATGGTAATTTTTTAGCTAAAATTCTGAACAACTCATATTTAGATTCAATAATAATGTGGTCAATATAACTGAAATAAATTCAAAGATTTTTAAAAATCTTTTAGAAGTATTTAACTCCATCGATATTTATAATACCTCTGAGCCTGACTCAAATATATTGAATAAAATATTTTAAAATAATAATAACAAAAAAACTTAGCAGAAAGTATGGCTATTTTCGTAAACCTGCCAATTTTAGCTGACCCAGACAAGCCAATATTCAACCAAACTCTCAAGTTAGAAATGACTGTAAAACAGTCAGGGGAATCCTTCTTGCCAACTTATTTTTTTTACAATGGTTTTGGGCAGCATATCAGATATATAGATAGACATTACTGCATTTATTTCATGTTGAATAATAAAAAGAAAACCGTAGGTTAATTGAATTCTAACTTTGATTAGTTTTCTTAGCTTGAAATATTTTAAATCTGACCCACATGAATAATCTTTTCACTTTAATTACTATTCTGGAGAAATAAAACAGTTAAACTGTTTTTTCCTATTCAAACATCAGTAACATTTTTTTTGAAAATAACATCATTCAACTAACAAAAACCAAATGAATGTACTCACGTTTTAAGATTTTCCTCTTTTACTTCAACAGAACCATTATCATATATTAGCTTTATTTCAAATACCCTAACATCAAGAAGTAATCTAAGTTATATTAACTTTATTACTTTACATAATTCAGGCATTTTTTTAGTAAAATAATTGCTATATCTATCAAGAATTCTTTATCATCAGCACAAGAATCCACTGAAAAGCATAAGATAGGCTATGATTTTGCACATTAAGTACTAATCATATTAGCCATTTCCTTATAAGGAATCATTTGTCATTCATTGATTGAACAGTTAGCATTACTGTCATTTGAAATTTATAAAATCTGAAAACTGTTTTTTCAGGGAAATATATTTCTCAAGTTCACTGTTATTTTTAGTACAGCTGTAGGTTGAAATTTATAAAATCTTTCTTTTAAAATAATTTTTCAGGAAAATAGTTTTCTCAAATCTAGTAGTCATTATAGCTCTTTCTAGTACTAATGGAGGTTTCCTTACTAACCTATTGTTTAAGGTAATGTGGAACATCAACATCTTGATTATATCATTATTTTCCCTTAGAATTGCATGTACTATCCATTTTAGTCATGCTGTCATTGGAATTGTTCAAGTAATGTATTTTTTGGTATTTGGTACAATTCTTTGTTTGTGATTCTGTAGTGCCAATCTTTAAGAATTGAAGAAGGATAGTCTTCTTGAAGACATAAAGGATTTATTCACTTATTGGAACTCTGTCCACCGTGCCTCATATATATACCGGGTGTAACAGCAAAATTGTCTAATTGTTAGATTAATCTCTGAACCGTTGTATCTTACAAATGATTAAAGTTATCTTACTGGAATTCTCCAAGGTTTTTATAACACTATTGAACTCCACTTTTGAAGACGAAGAATGCATAATTACTCTCAAAGCTTAATTGTTCATAATTAATCACAGCTAAGGATGATAAGCTCATGAAGGATTGAAATAAAGTTCAAATATATATATATATATATATATATATATATATATATATATATATATGAAGAAATAGAGTTTTAAGATGTGCTATATTTGAGATAAAGTGCTCAATATCAGAGATAGAGCGTATGTAAATATATATATATATATATAAGTGAACATTGAAGTCAACACTTAGAGGCGACAGGCTGTTTCATGCTAGACGCAATCGTCAGGCTGACGATTGCGTCTAGCATGAAAAACAGCCTGTCGCTTCTGGAGTGTTGACTTCAATGTTCACTTATATATATATATATATATATTCCAGGATAATCTTCCAACTTATCCATGGTGATCATTGCCCTCACTAACCAAATTCTTTCCGTAAAAACTTGCTATAGAAATTGCTATGGAAAACCACAGCAGCGACGCTATGGTTCCATCCTCCACTTACTTTCCTGAAAGTGCTACTAGGTAATGCTCACCGGTTTATAAATATTCTGCGATATTTTTTCTCATCGTCTTACTTTTTCGCTTACACGTCAACATGTAAGTCTTTCGTGTAAAATACGATTCCCCATTGGGAAACGTAGCAACACACACGCACACACATACTTTCGCTCGCTTCACATCCTTTGAACTTTAAATATTTTCATATACATGTTTTTACATACATAACTGTTTTTTCACTTGTGTAATTTTCTTGTTAATACATTATCATTTGTTTGTACATATATATATATATATATATATATATATATATATATATATATATATATATATATATTTTGTCTTGTTGTTTCTTGGCATTTTATCATGGCGAGCACACATGCAAGTCCTCCATTTTTGTTGGGGGGTACTCTAGGAGACACGTGTTTTTCCCAAATCAAATACCTGACGTGCACTAACGCCCCCAACAGAGGATATGTGCGTTGAATTCATTTATTTTGAAAATGTTAAAACAGTCGAATGTCTTTATTCGCAGTTACGCTTATTGATATTTCTAAGTACCGATTATATTTTTTCTGTTAAAATTTTCAGTTCCTTCGGTAATCAATGAGTAAATACCGAAAGTTTCATTAAATTACATTAATTAGTCGAAGTTTAATCGAACGCTAAAATGCAGATTTTAGCACTTAACGTCTCCAATTGATTCTCTATGCTTTTTTTTTCTCCAAATATAAACACAACTTTCAAAAACAAAGTGATTATTTCTTTAAGTTTCTATGTAAAAGAACAGTCACCACTGCTTCGTTTTAATTACATAAGTTATATTAAAATTGATTAAGCCCTTATATTAAACGAAATAGTTTTTGCCTAACGTTTTGACAATTCTGTCATCAAGGAAGCTTTTGAAGAAAAATTAGTGATTAGTGATTTGTTTAAACCAGTAGATGAATAGTAATTGATGAATTTCATTAAATTATATCCTTTGAACGATGATTTTCGTTTAATTAATAAAAGTATTGTTGGTATTTAATGTTTGTTTTAACTTTCAGAATCAAACTATTTTAGAACGATGAATCAAGGTCGTTTTCCTTTATATATTTTTAAGCAATTCCCCCAAGCATGACAGGGAGCGCCACTATCACGCAAGGGTTACAGAGAGTGAGAGTAAGAGTAAAAGAGGAGGTGCTTGGGAAAAGGATAAAAGAAAAGACAGGGATCAAGGTCATGGCATCAGAAGATGTCGATTGACATTACATTATAATATTTGAAGATTATAGCTATCAGGGAAGAAATAAGAGGAAGTGAGTTCCAATGTCGGGAAGTGCAAGGGAAGAAGCTGTTAGAGTTGAAGAAATGGCTCCATTTAGCCGTTTCGACAGTGAAATGGTGGGACTAAGATGCCCACCTAGTAGGACAAAAATTCATGCAGGTTGGGAACCAGTGAATATAGATCGTTGGAGCAGTTGCCTATAGAATATATGTAAATAATACATTTGACTTTCAATTTTTCAGCTTCAACTTCCTTTTCTTACTTAAGAAAGTCATAAATCGGAAATTAATTTTATTTACTTTAATTGCATAGGCAGAACTAAAATTAATAATTTTCAGGATAAATATTCGGGAGATTTAATGATTTTCTGTTGCTGCAAGAGAAAAAAGTACCATGAAGACGGCTAATAATATTTAAATATTTAAAATGAAATGACTTGTTCTTTCAGAACGTAGGCAACCCCTGACTCTCAATAAAATCGGTTTCTTCATTATATGTTAATTACCATGACTTGTTTGGAAAGATAATGGAGATTTTTCTCTCTCTCCAGTCTCTCTATCTCTATCTCTCTCTCACTCTCTCTGATCTCTCTCTCTCTCTCAGTCATTTATCTATCTATCTATCTATCTATCTAAGTCTGATCATTATCTATCTATCTATCTATTTTACCTGATAAAAAAGCAAGAAGAATAAAACAGCAGAAAAGACAAACGTCATATCTATTTGAATATCTTTCTTTCTTTCTGTCAGCCTGTCTATCTATCTATCATATTCTGTTTCTATCTATCTATCTATCTATCTATCATATTCTGTTTCTATCTATCTATCTATCTATCAGTTCCTATTCATGTATCTATGTATCTATCTTTCTATTTCTCGATCTATCTATCTAAACATCTTTCTTTCTTTCTGTCTACCTACTTATTTATCACATTCTATTCCTCCCTATCTATCTATCTATCTATCTATCTATTAGTTTCAAATCATATCAGTTTTGTATCTGTTTTTGTTTTCATATATCGTGTTTAACAGCAAAATTGTCCAAATCCTGTGTACAGCATGGAAAAATTGTCGATCACACAAAATGTTTAATATCTAAAAGACCACTAAACTATTTGAGTTTCTTTTTTACAGGTTTTCAGTTAAGACATTTAACCATCTTGACATTATTTGTCATAAGAATCCCTGAAAAACTCTTTGAATTATTCAACTACAAAGAGAACAGGTTAAAATCATTTTGCGTCAGCCCCACTATGTCCCCCCAAATAAGCAATGATGAGAGGAAAAAGATCATTCAGGCCTTCAGTAATAGTACCAACATTTACACTCTGTCTTTCATCATCAAAATCCATTCAAAAACCATTAGGAAAACAGCGAATAAGTTTAAAAGAGAAAGCAGTAGAGAGGAAAACTGGATCAAGAGGACCCAACAGCAAGAGGGATCATCATTTCACCTTAAAGCTAAATACAATATTATTTTTCAAAGTACAGTCCAATAGTGTTATAAAACTTTGGAGAATTCCAGTAAGATATCTTTAATCATTTTAAGATACAACGATTCAAAGCTTAATCTAACAATTGGACAATTTTGTGGTTTCGCAATTTGGACAATTTTGCTGTTACACCCGGTATATAAGTTATTCTTATCTATCTATCTATCTATCTATCTATCTATGGGTTTCATCTAAACTTATTTTAAAAGATTTAAATTGATACCACATTTACCCATTGTGATGTTATGTACTCTGCAAATGTAAAAAAAAAAAACCATTAGAACATAAAAGTTAATGGTTTGTTTATAAATATTGAAAAATATTGAAAAAAGTGCCCTCGAGGTGATTCTGTAAAAAAACATGACAAGTTTGATAAAATGATTCATGTAACTTCATTCACTGAACAGGTCATTTTAAGTTTTGAACTGATTGGAAATGTTTTAAGGTTTCCTTTCACAAAAGATCAAATAATGTTTCTCTGTATAAATCAATTGTATTCAATTGGGTAAAGGCAACATTCAGAAAATTGTATGGATCTGGTTCTCATTGCTATGCATCATGCAAAAATCAAAACTAAACAAAAAAGAAACTGCTGCATTCGGTTTAAAAGCTGCAAGGTATATGGTATTATCCAATTAATCTAAGATAAGGTACTCGTTGCATACTCAATAACTTGAATTAAATTTATGTTACTACTCAGGCCTGGAGTATCTTTTTCATGTATTATCTGATGGCTGTGCATTGTGGTATAATGGATATGGGCTTGGAATGAGAAATCTGAGTTCGAATTCCATTCAGGTTCTTTACAGTCACTTACGTGTAAATAACCTTGGAAACGTTAAGAAACATCCAGGGTAAGATGATAAACTGTATCCAACAGCATGGCCTCTGATCAGGAGGTTTTGCGGAGCATGGAACCACCTTTTAATTGCTTATGTTCCCAGGTCCACCCTGATACAGGGTGGCAGCACCTGTTTGGATCCCAACTATGGGCAAATAGTTAACCCCAAACTGCAATGAAAATGTTTAAAAATAGGTTTTAATACCAGCAATAAATTTTTAAGGAAAAAAAATATATTACCAGCAATAAATTTTTGAAAAAAAATATATTCCCAGCAATACATTTTTGAAGAAAAAAATATTAGTAGCAATACATATTTGAAAAAAATATTACTAGCAATAAAAAGCTTGTCGACATTAAATAACCCATTGAGGTTAATATATACCATAAAACAAAAAACAAACCAAACCAAAGGTAAGAATCCATCTTTCCTTCCCCATCTATGGGTTAAATAGTCAGTCCTGAAATCAAAGAGACATGATTGCCCAAGTGTGTATTGCAGACTGCATTTTTTCTTTTTTTTTTTTTTCTTAACTGATGTTCATCCAATACAAGGCCTAAGAGCCACTCAAGGTTTTGGTGTGGATTAGCATCAGAAAGGACAAACATTAAGAGTTCAGAGCTGAAGCAGACTGTAGAAGGAACTGGAAACTCAATCTTAAACAGAAAAAAAGGATAAACTTCTGCTCTTAGACAGAGAGAGAGAGAGAGTGTGAACTGGATGATAGGCAAACCTATCTGCTCCTTTTGAGGAAAAATGAATAAATAAATAGTAAATAAAATTTCAGAGTTTAGGCAGAGATGTTAGAAGGATAGACTTGTAGTAAACATTAAAAGAAACTGGAAACAAGGGATAAACCTCTACTCCTGTTCAAAAGACTGGGGAGGAGGATGAACCAGACGATAGGCAAACCTATCTACTCCTGTTGGTGGAAAAGACAAAAAAGTACAATAAGATAAATTATACTTATTATAAAACCCAGGTTGTGTGTCTGTTCGTTTATATATTGGATTGGATTTCCCACATTTTTCAACCGTTTTCAACAAAACTTCACAGGACTATGTAAAATTACCTTGCAGTGGTTCTGACAGTGCCAAAAATTGGAAAAACACAATTGTTTTTGCACGAAATCAATTAAAAAACACAATTAAGAGACGTCGCTGTCACGAGGAATGAAAGGGGACAACTCATATCGAAAATATACTGGCTATAAAACCCAGGTTGTTTTGTGTGTGTGTGTGTGTGTGTGTGTGTGTGTGTTCGTTTATATATGGGATCGCATTTCCTACATTTTCAACCGATTTCAACAAAACTTCACTTTTTTTTTTTGGCAGGTAGTGTTTCTTACTGTCGTGCACATTTTTCTTTTATTTTACATTCAAGAATGCTTTAAAAATTCCATTTACACGACAATTGTTTTATAATAAATTCTATTCAATCAGTAAACTCATAACGATTGAAAACAATGTTTTGTTTGAGTTTAGGGGTTTGACAATTTGTAAAAAAAAATAAAAAAAATAATTAAGACATGCGTGTCCGTCAACCTTAAACAATAATCTTTGTCAATTTTATTTTTCAGTCTTTATGATGGTCGATACTTGATCTATCTCTTACTGTTACATCCCCGGGCAACACCGGGCTCTACTGTTAGTTGTGAATAAAATTTGTGACTTCAGAGATTTATTATATTGTCTTTGTTTGTATATTTTTTTTCTTTTTTACATTGAACAATCTCTTTGTAACCCTTCTGTGCTTTAAATTGAAAATACGACATCCAAATTTAAACAAGAATAAGATTAGTGAAAAGAGCATTTCAAAAGCTAAACAATGTACTAAGAAATAGGAATGTCTTCTTAGAAACAAAGAAGAAATCTCCCCATAGAAGAGGAAACTGGGAGCAACAGAAATGTGGTTCTACAGAAGGATCCTGAGAATTCCATAGAGAATGCAAGTAAGCAACAAGGAAGCTTTAAAGAAAATGATACCAAAATGAACCCTTATACTTAGAATCAGAAATTTCTTGGACACATAAAGTGGAAGGAGGGTTTGGAAAACTTAACTTTCACACTATACTGAGGAAAAGATAGAGAGAAGGAGGCAGCAGGACACTTACTGGACGTGCTTGTGTGAATGGATGATAGAAGAGAGTTAGGGGGAGGTGGCTTATCAAAGGTAAAAATGCTGCAGAAATTCATGAGGAATAGGAAGCTGCGGAGAGCCACGATCACACACATCCTGAAGGATACAGCACATAGAAGACATGAAACTGACAGCCACCATGAAATGATGATGCCTTTAGTATAATCTATCTATCTATCTATCCGAGTGTTTCTATATATATATATATATATATCATCAGACCTGATGAATTGGATCATATTTACGATTCAATGGAATAAATTATGACCATGGAATATTAGTGGCTTAGCCTTTTTATTATATCTTTACTCTGTCCTGACATTGAGTTCTACCTGATTCGATATATGATTGCATATGTGTATGTATTTACCACTTGCTAATATTATCTCTCTCTCTCTCTCTCTCTCTCTATATATATATATATATATATATATATATAGATGAATAGATAGATATACAAATGTAATGAAAAGAATATAAATCAAACGTTCATAACATCAATTTAAAAGAGGCTCGATACCAAAAGTAGAGCAATAGTCATTTATTATAAGTTATTACTGAATTAAGAAACCATTATAAAAGATTTTACATAATGGTATCTTAATTCTGATTATATAACATTATCTTTGTTTAAATGTCCATATACCTACTCTGATGATGGCTCATGTGAGTCAAAAAAGCTTAGATCAGGAAACAACATAATAAAAAAAAAATCCAAATGTTGCAGTTTTTTGTCTTTATTTTCTCCCGAAACTAAAGAACAGCTGATGTTGAAAGATAATAGACATTTGTTGTCTGTTATTTTAATATATATATATATATATATATATATATATATATGAAAATATAGTCTTAAGATATGCTATATTTATGGGATAAAGTGCTCAATATCAAAGATAGAGCATGTGTAAATATTTATATTTGTATTCATATATATATATATATATATATATATATATAAAAAGTGAACATTGAAGTCAACACTCAGAGGCAACAGGCTGTTTCATGCTAGATGCAATTGGCCTGATGATTGCATCTATCATTACCTCTGAGTGTTGACATCAATGTTCACTTTTATATTTACATACGCTCTATCTCTGATATTGAGCACTTTATCCCATAAATATAGCACATCTTAAAACTATATTTCTTCATATATATATATATATATATATATATATATAAATATATATATATAT